TAAAAATTTCTACTATAAAACTTATCAAACATTTTGCTCTGGTAGCAAATACCGAATATTACTTAAAGCTCTTCGTGTTACCTAATACGTTAATTAAGGCAATTATTTCTAGGTACGCTAATGAATTTAGGCGTTTCATCCTTCCAGAACACTTTAACATGGACTTGGGATGGGCCAAGCGCTTTGAAGACGATGTGGCTGACTACATGCCAATGGCAAACCCGAATGGTTATCGAGTACCTGCCCGTCTACAGACCGTCAGCAGCCGAATGCAAGGATCCTGGTCTGTTTGCCTACAACGTGCGTCAGTTAATGGCTGCAGCGCTGGGAGTTGGTACGACCGAATTTGGTTACGATGACCTTCGATTTCTTGATACAGGGGATGTACGTCAGCCACATCATACGCTAGCTATAGTAAAACTGCTCAAGTTCAGAGCCAAGAGCGGGTAAGACAATGTGTCTTTTGCTTTTCATATTATTGAACATTTTAAGAATAGGCCAGGCAGGCAAAGATTCAAAAGGAAAAGCGCATTAATCAAAGCATAAGAGATAGTTACTTGTAGTTTTCTTAATACAGGAATTAAGAAGTCAGTACTTTTGGGCAGTCCACGTCGTAAATTCCAAGTAAAGGGAAATTGATAATCAGCGTCGTCTTTCTAAAACTGACACCTATAACTTGAAATTGGCAATAAACTATTCCTTCCGAAACTCGAAGGACTTACATTCAAGAACTTATGACTAATGTATAGCAGTTGCTGGCTTCTCGAAATATTAAGAATGACACTGAAAATCTTAACCGAAACCGACCTAGGGCGCCATGTCTGTTTGCATTCTATTTGATTTGCTTGATTGATTTTTCGATTTAGCCTGATACCTGACCAGATTTCATTGGACATTGCAAAAGTGAGCTCCTTAATTACTGAAACGGAAAGAGCCGGACGTCCATCAGGACGGCTGACGCGTTCTGAACTGTTAGCCGCATTGGGCGTACGTCCGTCTGAAGTGGCCAAGGAATTTTTTGACATCCTCGAAATGGAGGAGGACGTCTATAGGGTTGACGAGCACCACAAAGATAATGGCACTGATCAAGAGACGGCCCAACAAGTTCAAGTCGATCCACGAGTTCTGCTGGCAGCATTGCATCTCGCAAACCGGGACGGCGAATCTGCATTCAGGGTTGGTAACCGCATTTTGAGGTAAAGCCACCCCGTAGTGCCCAAATATGCGACTAATATAAATCGACTGAAGTGGCATCGGCCTGTTAATTTGGTGGCCTCTTTCCTGCTAATCTGTAGTACTATTGAAAAAAAGTCCAAGTTGGTTTGGGGAGGGATATAAATGGAAAATAGCAATTCCGATGAAGCTAGTAACTCGACGAAGTGAAGTTCAAGTATCGGGACTGAGCTCCACATTCGGCCCACATAAAATAGATTTTACCTTGGTGGTAGTCGGCAATACGCGAATAGTATTACTCAAATGATTTTAACATAAAGAACATACGTGAATAAATTAATACTCTAACAGTGATATGCTTTCTGAGTAAGGATGTTTCGCATCCAACCACTGTCAGATCGTTCCTTTCTTGTCTAAGTTCTTTTAAATTTATTGTAAATCCAGTATATAAGCCTAACACCTGAACGAGAGCAAACATCAATCTTGACTGTTTCTAACGCCAACCATCTTTTCATGGTTTCCATATGTCTGCAGTGTCTCAGCGGTGAGCCCGTCGTCATCACTAACCATACGACAAGTAGTCTAGCTACTTCTACAGCTTCTCCTTCAATTAATATTAATGGTATCATAGCCAATAGCAATGATGACGTCGTCGGTCGTGAGCCTGGAGCTACGGACGACGGAAGCGTCAAAGCGTCAGCCGTCCCTGTGCTCACGCAGAAAGCTTTCTACCGCTTGTGTTGGCTGGCTATGCAGATGCCGAGACGTGATGCTGAACAACTATTCGAGCATTTCCGACCATCACCCTTAACACTGCCTGTGTTCCGAGAGCTCCTCGCAAAGCACGCCAATCGTTGTAAGGGTATTGTATATTTTGACAGCGCCCGCCGACTTAACCTCGACGATGGCGATCAAGCGCCGCTCGAATCGACCCCAAAGATACAACGGGACAAAGAGGACGATGTGGAATCAATTAAAGCGAGTCAAAAATCCTCTGCGCGAAAGATATTCGTCCGAAAGGTCGATTCGAATGGCCGCAGCGACGAGAAGATCACAGCAGCGCCAGCATTAAGTGCAGCAGTCGTGACTAGCCAAAGCAAGCGACAGAAGGCTGAATAGTGAGATACGTTATTATAAGCATGCTACAAAGATATGACAAGCAAAGCCGCGGCAGTAGCAGTGATAGCTGGAATCATAGAGTCCACATTAGCGTTGGCGGAAAGGCAACTGAAGAGAGGAAACTGGAAAGCAACAAGTTACTAAGTGATATAAAGCTAGAGAGGAACCCCTCGACAGAGAAGTCAACTAGTGAAGACGGTTTAATGTACGGTTTGACTGGACTCAGTGGCCGAAACCGACTTGTACCGCTAGAGATAAAACCGATCTGACTTAGAACTGGGGGGTTAAAGGTAAGCAGAGGCAGGCAACGAAAATGGAGATGGCACAAACAAGAACTATTAAAGATTATAAGATTACGTGGGCTACGTCTTTAGTATGTAAATTCACTTGAAGAGTAGCTACCGTAGTAGTGATTGAGGCGATTTTTTTGTAAGTTCAACTCATTTGACTGGCTTATAACGAAAAGGAAAAAACTTTCCAAAAAATTCCAGAACCTCAGAATAAGAAGGTTAACATGTCCCAGTATGTTACTAACTATTACGTGTTGTGATATAAGGGAAAACGACGTACTTCCAAATGTGTAAAATTGGGGGTCAAACTAAATATGTACAATACAACGAAGGCTCAGTTTTTGATTGCTAATTCTCCCAATAGTGACGAGTTACTCAAGATGAGAAGGATACTACATATAGACGCATTGATCCGCGAAATCAAGACTACTGGAAGCGCGTGCAGATATTTTTATAAACTAGGATTGTCAATCTCTGCTGTTATGTTGAAACTAGAGCTGGGCGACAAGTGCGCTGTTTCTTACTTAGGCTTAGCAGCATAGTTCATTCTGGGTAGTTTTATTGCAAAAACATTCTGACGCTAAAGCGTGTTATATTCGCGTTAGGACAACAACAGCGAGTCTTGCAAAAACTGCCTTTCTTAATTATATACATATATACGTGCTTTTTAGAATTGAAGGCTTTAGTCTCTACTGATTTGTTTTTTTCAATAGTAAATTATTATTTTCGATGTTTAAGCTGCCGGGTCTGTTGACTGCATCCTAACCAGCAATATCTGATAGTGAATATAGATATTGTTAAGTGAGGGTTTGTCACCCGTTTGATTGATGGACATGTCTAAGTGCGTAGTTAACAGTCGTTTACTATTTCGTAGTTGGATGAAAATGTAAAACCTTTTTCGCTCTTGGTAGGTATATAGTATGTCTTTATGGTTTGGAGTAAAATGATTGAAAATTGTTTTGTATTAAACCAATGAAATCAACATATAAACTACCTGAATTGAGTCTTATAAATATCATAATTGAACTATTTGTCCCTGTCATTATTACCATTAACTCACTTTGACAGCTGCAATTACTATATCTAAACATGTTCACTGTAACATGAACTCAGAAATACGCGAGAGAATATTAAGCACAAGATATTTTATATGTACGTACACCAAACGGACTGAAGAACACGAATCGAAAGATATAAGTAGAGGGTCAATATTCTTTGTCACGTTAACAACCTTTGACTAAGAGCAGCATAAATTGTAACATAATAAAACATTATTAGAAAAAATTAGAAGAGGATCAGGACAGCCTCACCTATTACGAAGAAGATACGCTTCGTAATATATAGGTTTCAGAAAAAAGACGTTCCAATGTATAATCAAAATACTTAAATGTTTTTTTTATGAGTGAAAAACGTAACAAACGACATGTTGCCCAATTACACGAATCGCCCGCTTGGAATAATCAGGTGACAACTGAACTTACGGCGAACAGTGGAAGTCTATGTCAACCGCAGAATTTTGTACCAGAAAAAAAGAATTTCTGCGAATCTAGCCTGCTATCAGCTGTGGACTTTGCAGCTACCTTGACTTTTTTAATTTGTGGATATTTCATTATTTGGAACTTAAGTCAATTAAAGGGATAAAAGGTTTATATAACAGTCAGCAAATAATTTCATGGTGATCCCATTTTGTAATGAAGACGAAAATAAAGTTTCTCGGTCGATACCGCCTGGAAAATTGGTCGGAAAAGTGGCTGTTATGCAAACGCAAATGTATATATTTATATAAAAAGAAATCTAATAAGATACATCTATCTAGGTGTAGAATGGGGGCAAAATGGCGAAGAACAACACTCACACGAAGGATATCAAAAAACAAACGTTTCTTCAACCGACGAATCTACATCATAATCTATGCGAGCAATGATTACGGGGATAATGTTGATCATGATACTGATAATAGTGGAGGAGACTAGTAGAAATTGCTGTAGTATTATTACTATGATCATTGGAAAGTCATTAAAACGAGAATGATGTCAAATTGTCTCGAAAATAAACGATGTGAATGTGTGTGTGGCGAAAAAAAGTAAATTGTGCGTAAGTATTTTCATTATTTTGAACCATTGATTTGGCTTAGCTGTTTGCCAGTTTGTCAGAAGCAAACAAGGTGGGACGTCAGCGGCCCGAAAACGACTTGACTCCTTAGTTTCATGCGACATATTTGTCTGTCACATGCATTGCTCGGTAGTGTCAATCGAAAGTTTATTTATAGACGATTCAAGTTACACGGCCTTTAGGATGATTCTTTATTGCCTTTGTTTACTTTTATCAATCTACTCATTTTAAAGTTGACGCATATTGGGTTATTTTGAGATTTTTAGCCCGCATTTTAGAAGTCCTATTTTAGATTATGTTTCTAATACGCTTTTCTCCGACCTCGATACCTAACAGCTCCTAGGAGACCAATAGGAAAAGCTATGTTTGAATATCTAAGGGTAAAATGTTTATTTTTACAAATTTATATCCTTTTTTTAATGAAGAACGTCTAAATTAATTTATCTTTCAGTTAGTATTCGCATGTTTTGCGACAATGGTAGACGGATTTTCGTTACGAGAAAGTTAGAGAAAACTTCCGGAATTAGTTCCGGAGTTAGAAAAAAAAGATTCTCAAAAGTCTTGGGAATATCTCTTGAATTCTAGTCACCGTACACACATAGTAAACGAGGAATGATGATTATCCTAGAATCCGAGATAAGTCAATTTTGTCCGGTAACGTTGACTCTGTAACGCTCGGCAATAGAGAATCAGTGTTGTCGTATTGTTCTAAAAGAACGGCAACTTTGTGAGCATTCTGAATTTATTATCCGGTCGATAAAGCCCTCATATATGAGATAGTTGAATTTACCAAATGTTCAATAAAAATTCAGAAAATATATACCAAAAGATGATTGTAATGAGAAAATGAAAATAGCTCTACAGTTCGACAGCCTTGTCGTACGTATGCTGTCAGGGTACTTCGCTTTGCACTAAACGTAATGAAATAATGTCGAATCGAACAGTGCTTGTTGAGTTATTGCAACAGACTATAGATCTGAAGAACGCCGTTTGCCAATGCTGGCAGTAAACTTATGTACTCGAATCAGTCGAAGGTAGGCCGCAAATGTGGGCATCTGCAAATACAAAACCGTCGTAGGTGTAGGAGAACGTGACAAAACGAGCAATGAGCAACTATTTTATGTTTTATTTGGCTAACCTCAGCCCACCCTCAGGTATGATGATTTATGTATGGAAGTTTAAGACTTCTAGCGCGTTGAAAGGACATACGAGTTTTTATGATTATAACTGTCCAGCAGAATACGAAAAGACAATACTAGTTTTGGCGCACAGGAGAACTCAAGGTGTTTATTAATCGTATCTCGAAACTCGAGAAAAATATGCAATTATCGTCAATATGCATTTTTTATTTCACGCTTTTATTTATAAAATGGTGAGTTAGCCGTGCTCCGGTTCGCCTTTATTCTTCAAACAAAATCCATTATTCTAGGTTTCGAACATACACAAAAATAAAGATGTAACAGAGCAGAAGAAGCTTCCTAAAATCTGTTCTGGTACCTCACTTAATTTTCAAAAATGTATTTATTAGTGTACAGTATTTCTAGCTCATGTTTACATTCTGTACTACGAGTTACGTAATTTTTCATCAAGCAATAGAATGTTGCTCTGAACAACCGATTTAAAATCTCTCAATAAATAAGACACATCCTGCGATTTTTATGCTCAGCCCTTACATGCACTTCATTACTCAAAGTTGGACAGCTTCCAACTGGCTAAGCTTGCCTCCACCCGGTTCTTAGTCCAGTATCCTGTTAGAATTAATTTAGGTAACCGTTAAATGTATGTACATTATTCGTGTAGCACTACACCGAAACCACCAACTGTAGGCTGTAGTCACCTGCTGAAGTACGTAACGAGTTATAAAGCTAATTTTTAAATTGTCAAACTAATCATTCTACATAACGCTTTGGTCAACAACAAACATCGTTAGGTGCACTGGATATCAGATGCATCGAATGAAGACGCTGCTACACTCATTGAAATCTGCGTAAGTAAAATTTGTTATATCGACTTCGCGATTAAGTTGCCCCGGTAAGGAAGCCAATCCAGTAAAAAATGTTTTGTACAAGTATATATAAACACGGTCTACGAAAGTCCAAGTTGTTCAACGGTCTTCTGAAAGTGTTTGGGCGGATTGACACGAGCTACTAGATTGCGGCCGCCTGCCAGAATCCCGGGAACGACAAGGCTTCTACTGTGCAAATGCAACGGGATTTCGCGAACCTGCAGTTTGGAAAAAATATAAATGAATAAGGTATTTCAGTATTGCATGGTTCGAATACCGTGTATAGATTTAGCGACACAACACGACTGAGATCCGGCTCCGATGGCACGTATTTAGCTTTAAACAATCCATTCTGGTTAATCTATTGTCCTCTATATTATATTGGTAAAAATAAATAACCGACTTAGAACTCATTATGTTTCACCTTCACGAACTCTGGTTCCTTATTCTCCACTTCATGATTAACATTTGTACTCTTTGGATATATGTAATATGACCGATCATGTTAGTGGTGATACAATAACCGCAAGGCTCGATATGTGCCAAAGGAAATTCGGACGAATAATATGTCTGTCTGCACTATAAGCCGTAGCAAGCCTAAGTAATGGTGAAACGCTGTCATCATTGAAAACGAATCCTTGCTCGGAATAGTTGTTAAATTTGTTGGTGCTATAGATCTCCGTACTTTTTGCTGTCGCACATGGAGTTTGGCAAGGATGTCTCCTGGAAGTTTTTGTGGAACAAGTTTCTTGATATGTGAATATTTGTGGTCACCGATAATTGGACACCGCAAGCCGAAACCCAGATGAACACGAAGCTGGTGTTTGTACCCGGTTAGCGGTCTCAGCTTCCAGTAGGCGGCACTGTTATGCCATGAGATAATTTCGTACTCAGTTCGTGCCTCAAAAATTTGCGAAAATTTCGGAATACTTTTCTTAGATCCCGGAGGTGGCCTGAAAAAGAAGATGAAAAAAATGGTGTCTAATAAATCGCAATTGATGATTATCTGGAGGAAAAATGCATTGTTACAGTGATTAAAGCAAATCCTTTCCGTTTTTTACACCAAATTATCTATCAGTCTCTACTACAGTACGTCATTTACCATACCTTGGCACTATAACCATGCGTTCCTTCCCTCCTATATGACCAACGGCAATAGGTAGCTCGATGGTACCTTGTCGCTCCTTGACAAGGCCCTTTGTAACAGCCAAATATTCTTTCTTTACTTGATGTGCCTTAAATAATGTCTCGATAACGTTCGCCATGTGCCGGTTTTTCGCTAGACACAATACACCTACGACCATGTGCATGTATATGACGAATGTTCGGTTAATAAAGTGTAATTTTTCATGAATTTTTATGATTATGATAATATAGTTTATCCTTTGTACAAATGAAGCAAAATAAGCAACGGATAAATAGAGTTAGAATCATACCAGTAACCTCCTTGTCTAACCGATGTACGGTGTAGAGTTTTTCCGCTTGGAAGAACGTGGCAAGTTCCTGCAGGTACGAGGTGAGAGCAAATTTGGAACTGCTACTAATGTTACCCCCACTGTGCATTGACATACCGTAAGGCTTATTTATAACTAGAACCTCCCGAGTGTCGACAATAACGCGTCGACGAAGTGACTGGAATACGACAATCATATTGAAGTGCGTCTAATAGAATCACAACTGACAGAGATCTTCGTCGCTATTATTACTGATTTATGGAAGAAATCTTGCAATTACGAAAGCTAAATAGTACTCCAACGTAAAGACGACATCGGAATAAAACAAAAAAAAGCCAAATATCCTATTTAATGTATTTGTTGGTTCATTTTTTAGATGATGAGGTATACGCTAGAATGTGCGAATTGCACCAGATAACCTTATCAATGTATAATTTCATAACAATTCATCTATACAACTGGTAAGCGTAAGGAAATCAGGAGTTGCCGAATCTACATAGACCTTACCAGATTCGATGCACCTCACAGGCCATTTTCAATTGAGCTCTTTTATATCTGCTTAACTTTAGCTAATGCATTACGTTTGTATAAAAATTGATGAGCTATGGCATACAAATGATGAAAGTTACATTGCATAATTCGTGCGATATACACATTGTTCAGCACCTGACGGCTGGTTATGGTATAGTCACATACCTGTAGAATCTGTTCATGGTTCATAAGGTTCAACGGTGGCTCGATCTCGGTTTTAATAAGACGGAATCCTTGTGAGTCGACTAATCGGATCTGGGCCTTGGCTAATTTTGCCTCTTCGGAGTCGAGGTTCGCTCGAATTTTGTTGACGGCTTCAAAGGCGGATTTAGGCTCTGCCTCAGTTGGGCTAACTGGTTGTGCTTTTTTCACGGTTCGAATATCGGCTTTGGATATTTCTCTTTCCAATCGAGGTCTTCCCCGCTTTTTTTTAATTTTATCTTGAGACTCGTTCTGGAACTTCTTGGAGTTTGTTTCTTGATCTTTCAAGTCTCCATGTTCGTTTGTGAAGGGAAGTTTGGTTACGGTTTTTTCTATAATTCCCTCGGTATCTACTCGAGGCTCAGCGGCATCCGAATCCGCGAGGTGATGTTTAGGTTTGATCTCATACTCGCCATGTTTTAGTGGAACGTTATTCCTGTCTAATCTGGTGGGAGGGACATGAATATGTGTTTCATTATAATGTCGAATAGCTGGATCGGTGACGTGTATGCATATTATGTGGGTTTTCAGAACGTTAATTTTGTCCTCACTCACTGCGAAAAAGTCAAACAAACAAGCCTACCAGATACCCTCCCCAAAAATACAACCTAGAAACAACGATTGCGGAAAGGAATTGTCTATACAAATTCAGATTTAGCTTAAACGATAATACTTACAACCAGTTTAAATTATTTTACAGTTTTATTATATAATTCAAAAACGAATTTTACTCTACCGTCAAGTCAGTTCCATTACACAGTTAGTATGCATTGATAGAAGCCTTTCATATGGTACATAAATTAAAAAAAAATGTATATCCATGACGTTATTTTGCCGACGTCAGTCATAGCTTACAGCACTTTAAGCTGTTTACGAGGCGTCCATAGCAAATATACGTTTCTAACAACTAGACAACATCATACGGGCTACGCTCACCTGACTGCACCAAATTCAGTTGGCGTGAAGAAGGTGTTAGACGAATAAACGTCACTGTACCGCTCATCAAATGTAGATCCTACACGCGGTCCTCGGGGTGATCTTAACATTCGAGTGGGCATTAATCCAAAGCGTGTGGGACATCGAAAAGCCCCTAAACATGTTAACCACGCATTTCCGCGCAACATCACCATGTTTGCACACTGTTCGTCTGCTCAATGTTGTTGTTGACTTATCGGCACCAGCCTCTATGCGGATACCAGGCTGGCCATGGCATTGAGGAGTAATAGAAGGTTTGCTTCACATCCAGCTTAAGTCGACCGATCGAGGGGGTCTATGGCAAAGGAAAACGCTGCAAATATCAGTAGTAAGACATTTTTAAAAGATTTTTTTGGATATAAAATGAAAAACATATGCATTTCCAACATTATTATTTTACAAGTGTATGTAAATGACACAAACAAAGGGTATTATGTATCTGGACAGTTTTAATATCTTTTTTTTTTTCACAAATGTAGATGTACGTAGATTTAATGCCGCCTCTCAAAATGGTCGATTGCAGTAAAACTTATCTCTATTAAATGACGTTCCGATTAATCGTTCCAGAAATCCAGAAATGTAATATGTCAATGGTTATACATAATTCCCTTAACTATATTCGAAAATTTACCGCAAATCTGAAAGTAAACTTGCGTGTAATTTTGAAATTAGAAACGTACTCGAAACAAATACAATAAATAACAGAGCTTCGCATTGTCACTGCAAGCATAGTCAAATTTGTAAGTCGAAACCCGCGATATGCGTATTTCATTCAAATTACAGTGTAGCTCTACAACATTTATGTACGACTCAGACAAAATACTTTTGCACAAGTTGATTGGTTGTTCACCTGTCTGAAACTACGTAAGTTATAGGTTATAAAACATTTCCTAAATGAGACGAATAGAAAATTGAACCTGATAGGGCTCTCATCTTCCGTCACTGAGGACAAAACCACTGATGATACTATACCCGTAGATGGAATGGGGATTCTTTTTGGCCGGACGATTTTCTAGTTTACGCTATAATCAATATTATGTTCTCAATGTCTTTTCTCTATGAAGAAGCTGATGCTATTCTGTACATCTATGATAAGAGCTCAAAATTTTTCATAGATAGCTATGTAGTTGTTTGAAAAACTTCAACTTAACATAACGCTATTTCAATGAAATTTTCTATTATTAGCGAGTTTATGTGCGAGAAACTCAGTGCTTCTTACCTTGTTACATATGAATGACAATTACGATAGCTAACACCGTCACGATCCATGCACAGGCGGATAACTTTTAGCCTCGCTATGGCTAAGTACGGGTTCTATCCAGAAATTCACTTATACTCACTCTGCTTTCAGCACTTACCGGAGGCATGCGAATGAAGTTCTTCGAAGTATTTGAGAATGAGTTACATCGATATATTTCAAGCGCATACTAAGGAAATGTTAGAGGAATACAAAAAAAGCATGAGCTGCTATATCGAAACACATTTGATTTCACTGAAGAAGAAGGCGGATCGCATTAACAATCAAAATGTTAGTTAGTGACATAGATACAAAGTCACTTTGTGAGAATCTTCATAAATAGTATTCCGTGAGAGAACCGCGAGCCTATCGGGGTCGCGTGTGGGAAAACAAGCTTATATAAGTTAGGGGGCAACGCTTACGCTCATGGTGATGATGAGACGCCGGTTGTTGACTCATCCGTTACACATAGCTGATCATGCACACGAAAATCAAAGCAACGATTCGGAAATGATTCGAAACTGAGGACTAATTGAATAGAAAAAACATCAACAGAGATACACCTTTTTCTAACTAATGTAATTGGCTTTTGATTTGAAAACATACGTAATAGGCGCGTTAGTTGCTGTGAAAAATGTAATGGCATCAACGAAGTACCACAAAAAAAATATATCAAATATTAACCTAGCAAAGCATTTGTATCTGTGGGATACAAGGAAATATTCAGTCAGCAAGTGCTATTGGAATTGTAGAATTTAGTCCGTCTATCTGTTTCATACGAATTGGATGCTTGATCTGAAGAGTACTCATGCTTGAATTAAAGGAAAATGAATCGGATTATCTAAAGCCCACTAGGCGACTAGATAGAATGCAGTCAAAATCTATCAATAATCTATAATTATTTTGCCTTATTTAAGGAAGACTGTCGGCGAGCCGTGAAGACCGAAGAAGATGCAATCCATTTGACCATGCTTAATAAGCTTATTAATCGCTTAGATGAGTCCACAATATCCCTAGCAGCAAATGTCGTCAAACTTCGGAGTTTTCAACAATATCAAATTAACGCGGCAGATCTAGCGGTAAGAGAGACAATTTATTATGGTTTATTAATTTTTCTGTAAAAGCTTGCTGTCGACTTATAGCGTAGTCATTGGATATCTCTTAAAATTTTCCCAATTAATGCATATTTCGTACATGTATACGCTTTGGATTCAGAAAAGTATTCTGCCGTACAACTTAAATTGGGACTTTCAGTAGTAAACTAAAGAACGTGGTCAGTTGTTTTACTAAAGGGCAAAAGGCAATCCCCACAGGCACCAGATTAAAGACAGAAACTTGTTGCAAATATTATGATTCCTTTTAGGGCCAGCAATAAAAGCTATATATATATATATATATATATATATATATATATGCCGTTCTGCAGGCACAGCACGGACCGATGTACAGTTGATTATACCATTAGCATGTCTGATATCTAAAATATACTCTGAGCTTTTTCCGAAACAAAATATTCAACGACTCTTAAGTAGAGCTAGTGTTTCTATCGCATCAGACGTCTTGCCTTTTATACAAATACTTTAGCTAAAACCAAAGGCGCGGTCATTTGATAAGAAAAAGGATTTGGTTTGTACTATGAAGAACCTCCGATGCAGGTCTTCGTCATTTAAAGAATTGTAAAAGCGCCAGTGCAACCACTACAATCACTGCCATGCAAAGCACCTGCCTCGAACGTACTTATCTGCTTAAACAATCTTTCTGTCGAGTTTTACGTCCGGTATCATCTTTAGCCATTTCACCACGAAACGAAGACTTTCTGTACTCGAGTTCGAGCCTAGACCACAGTGCCCCTCAGATTAGCACGCAAATACTTCAGCTACTAAGCTATCACCGGGACTAGGCAAACGCTCTAAGGAATTTAAATAGATCATCTAGATCCTTATCATAACTACCATTTCTTCTGTTCTGATAATTAAGAATGTTCCCCTCGGTTCCCCTAAGAAAAAGGACATTGAATATAATTTCCGATTCAACAACGCAGATCTAGGACAGATTGGCTGGCACCCACTCATACGCATGTCAAATAGTTACGTGGCAACTACATACTACCATGGAACCGTCATTTCGAATGTGAATAGACACACTGAGACACTGTCGCCCTCATTATAATGTACCTATTTAGTAAATTCATTGTCATATAAGAAAAGGCAAGTTTGGGATGCGTGATTTGGCAAAAACCTATAGATTAGAGCGATTCGGACGCTAAAGCGACGATGTCCAATGCATACGACGGGACAAAAAACAGAATAAACTAAAAGTGCTCGGTTTAGCAGTTCCAAAGCATAAAATCATAGCACGAATTAAAAAGTGTCTTTTAAAAAAAAGTAAAAATTTACTTTGAAAACATATAGAGATATTTAGCACGGCAAGCTCCAAAATGAATTAACGAGGCAAGAGTATTTACAGGGCACAAATGATACCAAGATCTTTTGTTCTAGAGGACTCTCAAGACACTTGTTATGCCTCATAGAAACTCCTCTATTCCCAAATACATCTGGCTTTACTAGTCCAAATATTTCGGATATCTTCGCCTAGTAGGATTCTAACCTTTTTGAGATCGAGAAATCGCTTGACTTTTGCGTTGTCCTATAAGGATTGAGATATTTTTTTAAATTATTTTCGGTCTACAAAAAAAATGAAAACTGCTATGAACTGAATTTCTGAATAATCACGTCGACGAGTGCCTGTGAGGCGCTGATGCTCATTCATGTTAATTTGCTCTTTTTAGAGGCTCGGTATGTCGTCACGTGGGCATTTGAAAAGCTATTAGATGGAAGCCGTTCCTTAGGCTGAGTCGCCTCCTTATAATTATTATTATGTACAGCGACGGATGTTTTAAGTGATATTGCTTGTTAAGCGACATTAATGGGTATATACTGGTGTAGTTTGCGCTGAGGAACATAGTTGCTATTGAAAGACATCCGCTGATTTGGATGGACTGATGCTTTTAGCCCCCAAAAGCACATGGACAATTTGAAAGGGCACCTAACTAAACCGAGGTTACCGAGTTTGTGCCATCGACTTTGCATAGCTGATAGTCTTACAAATAGGCTTTAGAGCCTTTTACTGCATTAAGTTATAGGGAAACAGGAAAACTCAACGGAGAGGTTATTGCATAGTTATTCTGTTTTAAGGAGATGGCGACACCAGTCGCAACAACTTCATTCCACGCTGCCTGGGAAAAAGTTATCTTTTTTTAACTTTTGTGCGTTAAAAAGTTGGAATTCCTGGTAAAAATTACAGCGTTATCGTCCCATATGTTTGTGTTTAATGTAACTGTTAATAAATCGCTTTCAGGATAAACATTAGAGAACTTGACAAGTATGTTTGAACGACCGTTGGAATGCTTGTCCATATATATGTATATATGTTATATATATGTGCTATATATGTGTGTAGCTTATAGTTTTATATGTAAGATGTGGCAGAGATCTTTCCTAACGTCTTCCATCGTAGTTTTTTGCTTTAATAAATTTTTACACGTTTATATGAGAGCAAGTATTGTTCTTTGGTTTATCTTAACTGACAACAATAATAGCATCGAAGAGATTGTTATTATGCCCTTAATACCCGCTTCAAACAGAGTTAATTTTTGCATTAGACGTGATGAGTCAACTCTTTTATACAGAATGTCCGCGCTAATGTGGAAGACTCCAACCTGAATCAGAGTGCAAAAAATGCTGCAGCGTCGTTAGAGAGACATATTGAAAACCTTCGTAAACGGCAAGCAACGTTAGAAAATGATCTCGTCAACGTGAAACGGCGAAGAACGGACTTCGCGACGGCTTTTAAGGGCTCTTCACGGCGACTGGATGCTGAAGATGCTGGTACGTGTAGAATCATAAGCAGTCATTAGGAGCATAATGTAAAAGCCTTATTGGCGTGCCAATGCTCAAAGGCCGTGCTCAAACTAAACAGATAATTTTTCACTATTACTACTCATTTGTACCTATTTTTGGCCAGTGTAGCTGCTCTTACATTTGTTGTTTTCGCAAAAACATTTCAAGAGAGCTCGGCGGTTCCATTGACCAAAAAACTCATTCATAGAATATAAACGCGTTATGCCTTCAAGGTGCAGTAATGAAATTATTAGCAACGTTTTGCGAAATAGCGCGGGAGTATCTTTGATTTACTTTTAAATCGTTTTTTAGATTTCCCGTGGCCTTGACACATTGGCTTGGTAATTGATTGCTACAGGTAGTTAACAGACCGCGGTGTTCTCGATAATTCGCTAGAGCTTTACCCTCTATATGAATTTTGCTTTAAGTAGTTTTTTTCCTGTTGTTTACATGTTGACGAAACTCTAACGCGTGTATCTGTGCACGAATGAGCTAATGCCACGCTTACAGCAAAAGAGTAGTGGGCAATATCCACGATACATAGCTTTTAAGGCGTCGAATTTAAGATCGTTGAAGGAACCCGATCGATCTGCACATACACCCATTCCACGAATAAATAATGTTAAAATAACGTATACGATTCTTCTATTCAGATATACGTTGAGCTGCTGGAAAGGTCTTTGATCCCAAAATTTACGAATGTGTTTTAGAAAAAATCCTTGTTACGGTTGCTAAGATTTTACTCCGAGTGTACTATTTTAGGGTACATTAATGGCCTTCTTACAGCCGAGTTGCAAATGTGTCGAGCTTCAGCTGAAAAGGAGATCCGCCAGTTTCGAGGTGAACTTGCCCTTGCAATTGCGGAAAGACGACGTGAAATCGCATCGATTGAAGCTGAAGCCAAGCGACATCATAGGGTTCATGCAGAGTGCGATAAACTCCTCAAACAGGAAGACCGACGTTTCAATAAACTAGAGGCCGCAGCGAACAAACGACTTGCCATGGCGCAGAAGACTTATGGTTCGGTGTATACTAACTACATATATACATAATTTCTAGACGTAGTACCCACAAAGTTTGGACCTACTGTGACTGAATAAATATAACCTATCTGCCTAGAATTAGTAGCTAAGTAAGTCGTATTTAGGCCAAGGGAGCAAAGACCGGTAACTTCAAAAGTCGAACTCGACGTTTTGTTAGGTCTAGGATCAAACTTTTCGAGCTGTACGTGCGAGAGCACCATAAGCATTCGATCGGACCGAACTTTAGCACCTGAGAGGAAATTACGTCTAGCTTATAGTGTGTGCTCGGTAAACATTTGCATTTTGAAAGGAGGGGAGATATGTATGATTCGGTAGAAAAAAACAATCGAATTTTTTGTAAGCATTGGAGACTATTCTGTCAAACCAGACATAATCTATAAATTGATAAAATCACTGACAAATTAAAGCGACTAGATAATATTCATGAAGGCTGTAACATCAGCTTACAGGCAAAGCCCAGGAATCGCTAGTTTACTGAACGATATATAGCACACGATAACTGATAGGATCCAAAGAAACACGCTATATTATCTTACGTGCAGCCATGCGAGGTAAATACGTCCATGCTGTCACAGTATATTCACAGTATACTCACAGTATATCCAGCGCGTCATAGACGAAAAGGCAATTAACCATAAACGGCACGCCGCTCTCTTACCATACCGCTTGCTTTCGATATGTTGCAGTAAGGGATAGCATGCTAGAAACGAACATTGTCAAGGTGCAGCTTTCAGCTGTTTAGGTATACCACTTTTTTGGGTTCTACAATCTGTCGAGTGAACGTCGAGGTATTAGACATACCTTCCTCGCAAATGAAAAAGTCATTTTGTAACTTTGATTAATGCTTACTATCAGACTAGGCGCATGGCGATGTTTTTTTCAACGTTTGATCGCTAATTATCATTCACATGGTTGCTTAGCATCCGCTTTGTGTTTCAGAGGAGCTATCACATGAATTTGATAAGCTACAAAAAAAATGGTGATGATCGGCCATCATTCGAAAATCGGTCCGGACCACCGATGAGATAAGGGATTGTGCGAAACTGCGTATCGGACCCTACCAACGAAAGCTCCACTGCATGTGAATAATGTGTCGATATGTGAAAATTACCTGTAGCAAAAAAAAACTGTGTTAAGCGCTAATATTTTTTATGTTATTAAAAAACAATTATTCGATGAGACATACAATGCGTGGTCCGTACGTTCTCCACACGTTTGCTTCACAGTTGTTTGATTTCTACCCACCCAGGTGAAATACGTTCTGTTTACATAAAATTCATTTTTGAACTTCACCTAAGGTAGCTTTATTCTCTTTGTCAATGTTTTTTTCCTTATATGTGTGGGGTTCACCCAGTTATGTATCTGATAAGAGATCCCCCTTACAACAAAGGCCACCTGTAGCGTAAGAGGCACTATCGTATATCGATTCTAAAATAAATCTATGTCTCTGTTCCACAAATTAATAGTAGGATTGTTCGACATTTGCGTAAACATGACGTCTTGATTCTGCGAATCGTTAGATACTCCAATAACGCCAACCGTCGAACTGTGATGTTTCAAAGCGCTCTAATATTGATGAAATGCGTGAATAAATTAAAGCTAGTTCTGATTTGTGATCCAGTCACTATCGAATTATATCTTTTACTCTTTACGGAAATAGATACATGACCTAGATAACACTTGCGAACGAGATGTCTGCGATACGTTCGAGTTCTTCAAAGGATATTAAGTGCTTCATAACTGGTCCATTTCTTTTTTGATGTCTTGAAATACTCAAGAAGATGTTCACACAAAAACACAAGTTCTTAGCGAAATAATCCGTGTGAGTGTGAGTCGAAACGAGAAGTAAGCTATGGAATTTCAGATGATAAGTTAACAACGCTGCGACGCAGCTGAGTGTAAGCACCACTGTTTAGACGCCAAATGCATAGCCTTGCGTGTGAGACGAGTGTATAGGAAATTCCCTATGCTAAGGACGCCCTAATGTACAGGTACTATATTTTCCGCCAAGCTCATCTAACATTTAGTTGATCGATTCGGAATTATGGCGTGTTTGCTAAATGTCCTAAAGGTCGTACTTAGAAGCAACAATTTCCCCGCATCTGGAGCAACCACATGTACCTTCGGACCTCGTTTCCCGCAGAGTTTATAGTGGAATCTATGCACAGCAATGGAGATGGACCACATGCCTGTCTAGCCATCGACACTGTCAACCCGTGCTTCCCCGTTGCGGACGAAGTAAAAAATCTCCATCAATTCCTGCGAATTTTTCCTCGCATTTTCGAGGTTTGTGTTCCGTTAACGGAAGCTCAAAGTGACCACGTAGGTCGTTGGCCAACAGTGGGTGGTGGGCTAGACAATACGTGGGACCATTTCAGGTGCTGTGTTAAGCTCTAATACTTTTTGAGGATGAGGGCTTTGAAGTCTTAGGCTTAGAAGAATATAATCCTACTGCAACTATAATTATAATCATTCTTCGATCAAATTGTCGTCCTATTGGTTTACCTTGCATAATGGCAAATATGTGAGTTGAGTTAAAAAAGACTTCAGCAAAGATTCTCTCCGCAAATGTCCACCTGTCGCGGACGCATAGCACGCTCAGCTATCATTGTTTGGCAGCTACTGCATAGGAGATCTGTCGAATGAGGTTAAGATATCTCTCGTTTTACTACATAGGTGCACTGGAACTTATTTAGTTCAAGTAAAGCGTCTTAGATATTGTGGAGCTCGATAAATATTGCACAGGATATTCGGTAACCGTATTACTACAATGGAAGACACATAGACCCGTTTCAACCGATCGTTGTACGGCAGTTGTAGAGCTTAACCTAAAGATGTGTCATTTATCTAAATTCTAATTGAACAAGCTTCTGCTTACGATGATCAGTACCCTTACTAGCATTACTGGCGACCGAACCCGTTTCTGATAACTGCTGTCCTGAGAAACTTTTTCGGAATTGTCTCTAATATTTAACACCCTAATTATGAACAGCGTCAAGACCAACAGTGATTTCTATTACGTAGCATAGAAATGGCAAAACAACTAACATACGAAAACAATGTAAATGAATACAGATGTAAATAGAGCCTACTTGATATTGTCGGCCTTAGTAGCCTGGACAATCCCATCAATACAAGTATTCTCTATTCATTTGCCAAACAGAGCGACTTTATCAATATATTGGTTCTGACGATAGTTGCCGCTTATGATTCATTTACACTGGAACTTAAGCATAGCAGAACAAGTTTAATTCATTTAGGGACAGTGTCAGCCTGTCAAATCTGACGGCGTTTGCTGGGGCATCGTAGAAAGAAACGCTGTGATACATTTCGAAGTGCGAATTCAAGACGACTTTGTTGAGGGCAGACAACGCGTTATTGTCGAGGTTGGTCACCGGCGGCACAGAGATGCAAATTTGCTTTCGAGAAAATGGCATGAGAAAGGGAGTGGTAAAGCTTCGTAGAAATGATTAAAAACGTCATAGTGTAACGGTATACGGACTCGATTATAGTAGCACGCAGTCACTCGTATCGCAACGTCAAGCACGGTAAGTCAGACCAGACGATGCTTAGCTTAGCGTTCAGCCCGGTTGCCGAACGGAGTTCGACTATCCATGATGTCCTCTAAATCGTGAACACAGTAGGTTTCCTGTAGAGTACGTTTATTTAATCGAACCATTTTACATATGATCAAGTAATAATGCTTCGTATAGCGTAAAAATATAAACGTGTTCGATTGTAAAACGTGGTGTGTTTATGCCAGTCTGGTTTCTGTTCTCATCGAAATAGGTAAAAATAGTAATAATAATAGTGTTGGCTACTAAGTTCCCGCGATTTTTTTCAAAAGCTTCATGTCCACACAGCCTATCATCACCTACGAATAGCTTCTGGTGTGCCGTTGAAAAATACCTTTCGTTCCCGATCAGTGTGACGCAACGATATGCTGTTTTATGTATGTTCAATTTCAACTCAAAAAAGCACTTCGAAGATCAACGTTTCAAACGGAATAGAGGTGCATTCTCAACATCTTCTTTACTGTGCATTTCGTCATAGCTAAGACGCTACCGGGACAGCCAGCTAAAAGGTCTGCTCAAGAAGAGTTTTCTTGCTTTGAAAAGAATATCCAGGGTCTAAATAAAGTTCGTCGCCGCGAGTTCACACAAAAACGTGGAATTGTGTGACGGTTTAAAGCGGTGTCGGGCGTTACGTGACCATAACAATTGATTTTCGCACAGAATTGTCAGCGGTGATCAGAAATGGTGTTTGCGTTTCACCGTAGATCAGATACCGAAATGGAAATAAAAAATTGCAACAACACCTGTATTTTGTATGGTAAATGTAACAGAAGCGCTTAACGCAGGTACTGCGTCAGTAATGTAGATGAACCTCGAACTATAATGACCTCGTATGTGTAGCAGATTGCAAAGGTTGAGCGCCTTCGTAGATATTAAAACAGACTCAGTTGATTCAGAAAAAGACATCGATCCATAGTTTTGAGCAACGATTAGGATCGTCCGACCTTAGATATTAATTTCAACCATTTAGTGTGTGAATAACGGTAGGACACAGTTGTTTTTTTTTGTTCCTTAGGATTTTCAGAGCTGATTCACAAGTCACAGTACAGAATTCACGATGAGGTCAGTGCCGGCCTTCATTCTGCTCCTGCTCGCGATTGCCGCCGCTAAGACGATAGGGTTGACTGCATCTAACCGCTATTTAAACAAAGACTACGATGGCTTAATACTCAGCCTGAGATTGAGAGCTGGGTTTTGTGCTTCTCCAAAACAGAGGTGTAGATGCTCGTGTGACTCAGCTAACTCTCCGAAGTGGACCATAGCTGGCCTTTGGCCAAACTTAAAAGACGGTGCGTAACAGGAGTCATTAAAATCTGACAGTTGCCGCGTGCTATTAATGGTGACGTTACATGTCCACATCTGTCCTGGTCTAGCGAGATGGATTTTGTTGTTAAGCTAACATAGAACCTACCTATTCGTGGTGTAATAGTATGTTCAATTATTAGAACAACAACGATACCATCCTCTATTGACCATATGTTAACTAATAATAGGGTCTTAGCATACATACCGACGCGTGTTACTTGTGTTTCTTCTGCCAGGAAATGTAAAAACTCGTTGATTTCGCCACTATCTAACTGTTGGCCCTTTTGCTACAACATTTACTGATAGAAGCATTACGGCGTTCACAGAAGAATTAATTGTCAAGTCTTAGCATATAAGTGGTTCAATAACCATCACTGCAGTACTAGCACGTTATCTTACTATATAAGCATACCATATAGGCACAAATGTTATTATCTGACAAATATACCTCTCACAGTGCGGTAGGTTTATCTTAAAACATGTTATCTCGGTATGCCTGGTAGATATGGGACGTAATAACTAAAATAGAACTCATCATTTCTTCACAGGCGTTAAAGCACCCACGAATTGTTTCAACACGTCAAGACATATCGCTATTGACAGTAATACGCAAGGCTTGCTATACCAATACTGGCCATGTTATAATTGTACGAACTCCCCGCATAGTATGTGGGAACATGAATTTGTCACGCACGGAGCGTGTCTTGCACGCGAAGCAGACGATTATTCGAATGCGAACCTTTATTTTTCTACGGCAATCTCCCTGTATAATCGTCAAGACATTTACAAGCTGCTGGAAGCGGAGCATATTGCGCCTTCTAATGGGATTCCGGTCCGTACGAAAGACATTGAAGACGCTCTGAAGAAAGCTTTCGCCTATGGCAAGTTTGAGTTGCATTGTGAAGGTCGACTCTATCACACAGATATTCTTCAGGAGATTCGGATTTGTTTTGACATGAAAGGGTTTGAGCGATCTACGCATTGTAGACTGCCGAAAAGTTCTTGCACAGATCTAGAAGTCTGGTATCTCGAATCTGGCGCGTCCAGAATACCCCAAATGTGCCAACTGCTAGCGCTCGTGGCCATAGTCGTCACCTCATACTGGCGCATATAAAGAAATAATCAATTTATCGCGATCACTCCTACTAATAGAATGAAACAATGTAAATATACAGCATCATAACTATGCATATGTTAGCATGAGAAACATAAGGAGTTTATCTTAAGGACCCCTTGTGATTGTCGCTTATACTTACCTAAAGCGCGCACGCAAAAACCTAGATTATGCCCCCATGCAAAGCTTCGATGAACCCTGTTTTTACTGTCAAATAGAGCAGATCAACGGTGAATTTGGTCCTGTGTTTGACGGAGCACTTCTGCAGGCGCAAGATAAAGTTTCAGGCTCAATGGTTTTATTATCGTTTTGTTGATAAAGCAAATACTGAGGCGGCGTGGTGTTCATAGGTATCATGAAATGAATAACCTCGAAAATAACAACGTTTATTAAATTATCATTAGTTCAAACAGGCATGATCAAATCGCCGTGTTAACAGTCTGCATGCAACTCTCGAGCAATGCATGTAAAGCTATAATTATATCTTTAGCTTTTGCGTTCCTCGCATTTTTTTTAACAATATTCCTTAGAAATACCGTAGTTTTTTAATTAAAACTGTTTTTTTACTATGAATGATTTGAAATAGAACATATTTCATAGTTAGAAAACTGTGAAAATAAACTACGTCTG